CTGCTCCTGCTCCTGCTCCTGCTCCTGCTCCTGCTCCTGCTCCTGCTACTGCTACTGCTACTGCTACTGCTACTGCTACTGCTACTGCTACTCCTCCTCCTCCTCCTCCTCCTACTACTACTACTACTCCCACTGCTGCTACTGCTACTGCTACTACTGCTACTATGCATCTGCGCAGGGATTCACACTCCCAAATCCAACATTCCAAAAACACGGTATTTGCGATGAATCTGACGATCACACGATCACCCTCCATCGAAAAAACCTCTCCAAATCCTTTCCCGCAGGAAGGAATTAACGCAACCTACCCCCCCCCACACCCCCACTTATAAACGAGAACCCTTCGCTACGCATTCGGGAAAAACGCAAAAGGTTGCTTTGAAAAGCTTTCCACTTCTATTAGGGACAGCCTCCAGCCTACTAGCGACAGCCTCCAACCTAATAGCACCTTTTTTGTACATGTAAAACCAAGAATGTAGGTGGGATATCCGTGATTTACACCGAATCGCTCATGCGAAGGTATTCTCATCATCACTCCACACCTGCCTTGCTCGGTGTATTCACCCAACAATGTTGAGATGCCAATATCGTCCTGGCAGGGAGAATGAAAAATGGGCCCTTTGGTACTGCGAACAATACAGCTTTCTCAAGCTTTCTCAATCAGTACATCCCGAGAAAGACGGCACTACCGTAAACTCACTATTTAAGGCGGGACCCGAAACCAACTGAATCGATTTTGCAATCTTAAACCCATTTTGGGGGATGAAAAAAAACAAGAAACCTTTGAAACGTAGCTACTCTCAGCTGCTCTCAGCTCTCATCTCAGCCAGCTCGTGCCTGCTCCGCTTCTGTGTAGACCCGCAGCCGCGAGCTACGGGACGCGGATTCAGAAACTTCTCGCCTTGGGCTTTGAAAGTGCAACTGCAAAGGCATGGAAAGCAAAGAAACAAAAGTGAAAAGAAGAGAAGGTCTAAAGTTCACCTCACAGGTCTGAAGAAATGAAAAATCATGAATTTCGAGACCAAATCGACAAATCTTCAATTGCTTTTGACCATTGAATCTTCTCTCACCACTCCCTTTGCTTGGAAAGCTTCTTCACAGGAGCAGGTAGTCTTGGCGGCCTTCGGCCAGGAGCCTCCAAAGATTCAATCATGCTTCCGAAACGTTGGAGGCCTTTACTACTAGTAACAAGAAGCTAGTAGGTTGGAGGCTATTACTACTAATTTCTTCTCTTCCTATGTTTCTCCTTTCGCTTTCTTTGTGTCTATGAGTTGCCTGAGTTCTCGTTGCAAGCCGGGACCCATTGCCTGCGGCATCTGTGGCTGTGGCTGCCGAGTAAATCTTCCTGGAGCCTTCCAAGCGAACGCAAAATCCGTGGCTGTTTCAGCTACAAAGTCCACCTGACCAGTGAATTCCATGGATACGAAACTGTGTTGTTCCATGTTCTATCACCCATGTTGAGAATGAAGAGGAACTGTCACAAGAAGTTGCACACAGGTAAGGTTGATGGCTGGAAACACATGGATCAGATGATCAGATAGGTTTCACAACAACGTTCCTCTGGTCTGTCCTGCGGCGCCATTGGTTCCTCAAAGCCTCACAGCGAAGACATGTTTCTTCGAACCAAGTCCAACCTCAACGACGAGAGGCTCCTGCTTAGCTCCTGCTTCGCTCATCTTAGTTCCTCTTCCCGTCCAAATTTCGACTCTGAAAGCTCTTTTGAACAGCCTTGTCAGGCTCCAAGCTGGCGGCGGCATGCAAAGCTGGCGGAGCATTTAGTTTCTCGAAAAGGCTTGTGGAGCTGCAAAGCTGGAAAGCTGCAGCTGCAAGTCTTCGGAACATCTACAGCTTGGAGATCTTGAGTCAAAAAGCCAGAAACTCGAAACCAGAGTGAAGTTAGGTAACAAGAATCTATCCGTAAACCAAGAAATGCTGAAAACTGAGGTTCAAAGGCTCGGCGACATGTTGGGCTCATGTCTTCCTCATGCCATCTCGCTTGGAGCTCAGTTGGCCGCAATACTGGACAGTGGACAGAACTCAACTGATCAGTGCTCCATCAGTGTCAGTGCTCAGTGTCGCAGTCATTGCTTCACAGTCTAAAGTAACCTAATAGCAATGGCCTCAAACCCAATGGTGATGGCCTCCAACCTAGTAGAAATGGCCTCCAGCCTAAGAGCGATGGCCTCCAACTACACAACTAATGTTCACCAAATGTTCTTTGAACGAATTTGATTCTTAAAGTAATTTAATTCTAATTACTAGTAGCTTCTTGTTTCTACTAGTAAGGCACTTGCTACTAGAAGGGATGCACTTGTTACTAGTAGCTTCTCATATTGATTCCCTATCCGTTTTTGAAGCGATGCTCGTCTGCTCGGCTCTGCTGTGGCTACGCAGCTACGCGGCACAGCCGATGTCAGATTCGTGCACGTTTAGGACGATTCAGACTGCAAAATGGACAGTGGATGAGCCTGGCCAGATCAGGGCCGAATGTGGAATCCTCTTTTGGGCAGCTCTTCCGTTCTTGATTTCCCTGGTCCTTTCTGTCGTCTTTTAGAGTAGACTGGCACAGAGGAATACCAATGGAATACCAGGGGAATGGTTTAGCTCCCACGGTCTGGTTTGGTGCTCCCGCTCCTCTGTATTGAAGACGTAGCGGTCCAACTTCATGGTGTGGTCGGGATCCTTCAACTTGCCGACACAACTAGTAGTAATGCCAGGAGCGCTCCTAGTAGCGTCCTCTTGTTCCTAGTAGTAAGGCCAGGAGCCCCTAGTAGCGTCCTTGCTCCTAGTAAGGCCAGGAGCTACTAGTAGTGATGCCAGGAGCTACTAGTAGCTGCTTGTTACTAGTAGCGACAAAAGACATGGATATTTGATCACAAGACATGCGCTTGAAGACATATTCTCCGCCTGCAGTAGCAGAAGGTACTTCTGAGTCTCTGCAATGAAAAAGCTTTCCATCCTATAACAGTGCAAAGGGAAAACTTGGGAAGAGTAAGCCTGTGCCCCATCTCAATCACATTACTAACCTCCGAAGATCACAGCTTGTGACGAAAAGATCACATTACTAACCTCTGAAGAAAACCTTTACTAATTTTATTTTGATTCCAATTAAATTAATAGTAGCTTCTTGTTACTAGTAGTAAGGCACTTGTTACTAGAAGCGATGCACTTGTTCCTAGGAAAAGGCGTCTGACTTCGTCTTCTTCAGTCCTGTCCAAGTAATTCTTGGACGTTGCACGCACATCTTTCAGAGACGCGTACCTTAGGACGCGCAAAAAAAGCACGGTGTGTGCCGGTGGTCCGGTGAAAAAGCAGAGGTCCATACCCATTTGGAACCCACAACCACTTCCTTGCATGTGAAGTCGAGCTTGCGACGTTTTTACAACTTCACTGTCCGAAAAACGCTCTGAAAATCGCTCAGAAAATTGCTCAACACGAAGAAGTCTCTTTTGCTGGTGAAGTTGGCCTGAAACGGAGCACTTGAGATCTGAAACGTCCATTGGACTTCCTGATACTCGATACGGAGTCGATCTGGACGATCACCCAGGTTCGGGAGCTCGGGTAAGGTCTCCTTCAAGAGCTCGGCCTCCAGAAGCACTTCGAACGGAAAAACACGAGGAAAACAGAAGGGAGGAGAAGGGAGAAGGGAGAAGGGAGAAGGGAACAACATGGAACAACCCGGTGTGTTCCTTTCCGAAGCGACAGCGAAAACACGGCCGGTGCCTGTTCAGGAGCATGCTTCAGAAGGCTCGAGAACTTCTCCAGCAAATTGGCTTCCCCCCCCAAAGTCGGCCAAATGCCACCGGAGGCTCTCCGGTAGAGTCACCTTCAAAAAGAAAAGAACAAGAACGCTACTAGTAGGAAAGGGCATCGCTACTAGGAACAAGAACCCTACTAGGGGCTCCTGGCCGTACTACGAACGGAGCGATCGGGCCTTACTACTTGGAACAATGGTTGCTAGTAGAAACAATATATAAATTAGAATTTAATTATAATTAGAAACAATAAGCTACTAGTAACAAGTGCATCGCTACTAGTAACAAGTGCCTTACTAGTAGAAACAAGAAGCTAGTAGAAACAATATATAAATCAGAAACACGTTCAAAGCTCCATCCTAATCTTGTTTGGGATGTTTGCGGAATCGGTGTGTAGCCCTATAGAATTTTTGGACCAGTGTCTCTATGGTTGAAAAAAGTCCTTTAGAAACAGGTGCAAAGCGAAGCAAAGCAGTTGTTCAACTGGCCTGCCTTTTTGCGCCAAAAGTCCAGCTGCATCTCTGTGGCCAGGAATTGCGCTGCATTCAGCTCTAGCTGAGCTTGAAGGTGCTTGGCCTGGAAAACACGTAAGGGTGGAAAGCCACGTGCTGTTGGCCGATGAATTGCAAAAGACGCCAAGGGAACGGGACGTTTCAGGTGAAAGGAACGAAGAACGGCTGAAGATGGTTGCCCCGATTGGTCGCCGCGATTCGTCGCTCCTTCGTCGCGACCTTCGTCGTAGCGACCGTAGCTCACTCGTCCTTCTCGTCCTTCGTCGTCTTTGAGAATGGGATCTTGTGTTGAGACCTCGTTTTGAGATCGGATGATTTCTTCCATGTCCGCCAGGCTCACAAGTTCACCTTGCACTTCCAGTTGGGCAGTTCTGATGAGTTCTGCCCAATCTGAGGCTTGAGAAGGTCGCTCTGGAATACCAATCCGTGCAGGAGCCAAAGCTGCAAGGAGTGTTGCCGCATTGAGGCAATTCAGCCAAAAGCTTAAGCGGACATCGTGATTCTTTCCCTGCAAACTACAGCACTGTAATTCAGCCAAAGGCTCACTCAACCTCTCAAGCAGCTTGAAAGCCTTGCTGGAACCCTTCTCAGCAGCCACACAGGCACGGTACACATCTCTCACTAGCTGTGCTGACAAGACTTCGGGGCTGCGGTCTGTCCAACTGCAAAAACGCCGATGGTTCAGCACTGATGTCTCTTTGGGACCCTTAAAGGGTAGGAGTTCGACACGTGGTGCGGCCACTTTTTCCACTTCGTAAAGTGGAGGCTCAACGGGAGTGTTCTCCTCGTCGGGACACACAAATGCAAGAGCAGCGAGTGGATCTCTAGCAGCTTCCGCTGATGCCAAAGCTGAGGGGTTTGAAATGGCCAGAAGTCGTCGAGCAAAGCGTGCCGAAGCATTTCCTTTCCTCGAAGATTCGCTTTCTTCAATGTGTGAAACATGGCGAAGGCATTTGCTTTGTTCATCCGCCTCCGATAAGAGGTCTGACAGGCTGTGGGGCTCGATGCCATTCATCAGTTCAAGCATCCGGTGCGTAGGCACCGCAGCTGGACGATCAATCGCCAAGTGCGCTTTCAATAAGAATTCCTTTGAAGCGCCCATTTTTCTTGAGAGAGCTGCATATAGAAGCAACAGAGACCAACGATGTTCGGGAGTTTCAATCTTGTCAGCATTGTCCACTTTGTACAAATCACTCAAGAGCTTCTCCCAGCTTCCAGTATAATTTTCTCTCTCTTCCTCTGCAGCCTTCCGAAAGCCAAGAATCAGGTCGGACCCACAAAGCTCGCTGCTTTCACTTGCACTTCGATGTGTTTTGTCCGATCCACTTGCTGTCTCCACCTTGGTGCCATGAACAGCGGCCCATGTGCATTTCGAGAAGGCAAGGATCTCTTCGGGACGTTCCTTTCCAGCTTTGGAAAGCACAATTTCCAGCTCCATATGGGAGCTTGGAAAGCACAAATGGAGCTGCAGGGGAGCAGAAGCTGCACCACTCGCAGTGTCCATCGCTCCAGAAGGCGCAGCTGGAGCTCCCGGCTTCAACACAACCATGGCGCTCGGACTCACAGCTCCCTCACGAGGACGAGGAGGCGGAAGTGGCAAGCGCGAAGCGCTCCTCTTGTGGCCCAAACTTCGAAGGGCCTCGGCAAATGGAGACTCCGAGGTGCCAAAGAGGTGCAGAGTCTGCAAATAGGCAAGAAAGGCATTGGTCTGCATCAAGGCTTCAAAAAACGGCTTGTCCTTGGCTGACACACCTGAGAGGAAATGGCCTTCTTGAAAAGAACTAAGCACTGAGGCTGCAGTTGCTGTGTCGCACTGAGGCCCCAAAGAACCGGCAACATCCCCCAAGAGGTCGGCCATAAAGGTCAAGTAGATCTTTTGTACGGCATCTCCAAAGTTCTCAGGTTCTGTAAATCCTGTACTTCTACCTGGAATTTGCTGCCACACATCATGCTGTGCTTCAAGCTGAGATCTCAGCTCGGTAAAGCTGAATCGCAGCCGACTTTGGGCTGCATCTGGAAGATCGGGCAAATGATCTTCTCCATGAGAGAAAGCCACATACACGTCGCCCGTGTCTAAATCGAAGATGGTAAAGTCTCTCTGGCTGAGTGGAGCGAGCAATTCGCTGGTGGCAAGGTCGTTGGAATCGGCAAAGGTCTCTTTCAAGATGATCTCACGCAAGCAGCCAAAAAGGAAAGGTGGTGGTGTGGCTAAATAGTCTGTGGATGGCAAGAGTGGATTGTAGCAATGCACCCATGCCAAAGGAAACAGAAGAATTGACGAGAAGGCTTCACATGCTGATGTCAACAGTGCAACAGATGAGCCAACAAAAAGCACCTTCTGTTCCAAGAGCAACAAGCGGGTCAGCAAGACCACGGATGATACACTCAATCGTGTCAAGAGATGCTGCAAGGGGACATGGACTGCTGGAAGACATGCAGGAGCAACTCGCGATGCCGCGCATAGACCCGAAACCGTGATTCCATGCAAAACCAGAGCAGTACCTGGGGGTGGTGCCGGTACATCATTCACGAGCCAAGCCCAGATTTGGGCGCACTTTGGATGTTGCTGAACGGCTTCCATGAGCTTCAAAAAGTGTGGTGCGGCCACTTCCGGAAGCTCGGACCAGGCACAAGTAGCCAAAGTAGGCTTCGAAAGTCCATCAGGACTATCGCCATGTTCGTTTTGTTTGCTAATTTGGACACCCACATAAGTCCGATGTGTAAAGCTATCTGTCATCACAGTGGAAAAGCTCATAGCTCTTGATGGAAGACCTGTTGGGAATAGGATTTCGGCCAAGCCATCCACAGGAGCTATCCCAGGTCCTCGTATTTCAGCGACGCTTTTCACACCGCCACCAGCTGCTCCCACATCTTTCAACAATGCCACACCACGCACCAAGGAGGATGGCGTGCGTAGGCGCCATAGTTCGGGCAAAGGCAATGCTGGCGCATCCATGCACGGAAGACCTAAAAACGAAGGCCCTTTTGGCCGTCTAGGCCCTTGTAGGCCCTCTAGGCCCTCCAAAATACCATAAAACAGACTGCATATCCAGAATGGAATGCTTGACCAAAGTGGCAACGAAATTTAGCCTGAGTTTCATTTACTTTTGGAATATCGTAGAAACGTCTGGCTTCCGCACAACAAGTCCACAAGATAAGTAGTTTGACAAAGACGTTCTCGCTCTCGTTCCAAACATGGCAGTCTTTCTCAAAGGCCATGAAGGTTCTCCAGCCCCATTCTCGGAACTTGGAATCCTCTCCGGAAGCTGTTCGGCGATCGCTTCTAGGTTGGAGGTCATCGCTAATAGAAACAAAGAAAAAAATATAAAGGAAGAAAGGTCGAATATAGTTTGCTAGTAGGTTGGAGGCCGTTGCTATTCGGTTGGAGGTAATCGCTACTAGGTTGGAGGCCATGTGAAGGATCAAAATGGTCCCAATCCTGCGTGGTCTCGAGCATGTACCACCAGCCTTTGCAAGTGCAGTTGATCAATTTGAATTTCTCACATTGTGGATCTTCCACGCCTTCAAGTGCCTCAGGACGCAAAATGTACCTGGAAGTGTACGAATAAAAGGAAGAGTGAAAAGAAACAACCTGCTTCAAGCCTCAAGCCTTTCGGGTTTGATGTTCAAACCAAAGAATTGAGTGAGTGTTCAATCATTCACTCACATTGAACCCTATAATTCTGGGGGTTAATTTCATGCGCGAACCAGCGGAGCACTCTCGGGTGTTGGTTTTGCTGAGATCCATCGCCTCTCCTTTCACACGCTCTGGTGAAATGCCTCAAGCTGCATTCGACCCATGTGGCAAAGCACAAAATTACCTTCACTTGACTTCTGCTTCGGGCCTGTTGGCTGTTGCTCGTACATTTGCCAGCATGTGTATGCCTGAAGTTGCTGAGGGTCGGCTTGCAGACGCAAGCTGAGCAGGTAAAAACAACAGGTCCAACAGGTCCAACCAACGCGGGTTCCAGGGGGTTCCCAAAGGGGCCAGGTGACATGATGGGTCCCTTGCACGCATGTGAGCAAGAAATCACACCCGGACTAAGACTGGCATGCGAAACAGCTATGCACACCGAGATGGATCGTGCATGTGAAGTGGCTTTTTTTGCGGTTTCTAGCTGCCACATGTATGTCTCGATTATAGATGGCTTTGTCAGCAAAAGGAACTTCTATTGCAAGATCTTGGTGGATGAAGGGCATGGGCAACTGTGAGTTTGACTGGGGGGTCTGTTGGGTATGTATTAACATGGGAGACCATCACTAGTAGGTTGGAGGCCATCGCTACTAGTGGGGCGCTGAAACCCAAAGGAAGCAGACGAACGAACAAGGAGATGCTAGGTGTGCATATTGGGGGGGACCATCTGTGGTAATCTTTGCAAAAAAGGCAGAAACGCGATGTCTTGTTCATGTGATGTGTGGTAGACACACAATTCTGGATGATGGAAAACCCTCTCTGCAGTGTTGGATTCGCTGGAAACCCGCAATGGGGTAGGCCGCTGAGGGATCGAAACGCGAGTTCACACTGATTGGGATCCGCAACGGGGTTCAAATCGACCGAATGTGTCGATGGTGAGGTTGCTTTTCACTTCTTCCTCCTTTTCTTTAATTGCTTTTGCCTAATAGCGATGGCTTCCAACCTAAGAGCTGGTGCTCCCCTTTTTCTTCAGACCTGTCTTTCTGTCGTCCTTTCTTTCCTTTCTTTCCTTTCTTTCCTGTTCTGCCAATAGTTCTGCCTATCAGGTCAGTTACCTACAGTACTGTGCAGTTTGATAGGGACTGCAAGCAAATTGGTGTCCAATCGTCGCACCGACCAATGTCATCAGAGATTAGTATGCCCATCACAACATAAACAATGCCAAATCACCACACATTTTCCTAATAGCGATGGCCTCCAACTTACTAGCGATGGCCTCTTACCACCAATACATACAAATACGACCTCTCATCAAGTGGCAAACCAGGAAAAACCAACTCACGCCTCACCACAAGTGGCCCAACATCAAGCACCATATTGCATGTCACTGCATCACAACACACCAAACATCACAGCAATGCACAACGAAAAAGAAAGTCCTTCTTGCACAAAAATGCCGAAGCAATGGCCTCCAACGCCACTGAGCCTTCCCAAGCTCACATCCGTAACAAAACCGATCTGAGTCTCCAGCTGTCATCTTTAGCATTATCTGCATCGCTACTAGTAACAAGTGCCACGCTAGTAGTAACAAGTGCATCGCTACTAGTAACAAGTGCCTTACTAGTAGTAACAAGAAGCTACTAGTAACAAGTGCATATTTTAGTCTCCCAGCCTCCATCAGCATCCTAGACTCTAGCTTTTCTGGTCTCTAGATATTCTTGTCCCTAGCTGTCTGTATTTTACTACTTTGTGTCAAATGTTGTCTAAGTTCATCTTAGTCTCTAGTTCTATTGGTCTAGCCGCTTAGCCCCACCTGGAGTCTTCAGCAGTCTTATTCTTTAGCTACCTTAGCCTCTACCTCTAATTGTCTCCAGCTATCTGAGGCTCTTTGTCTCTTTGAGGCTCTAGCTATCTCAGCTTCAGTCTCTAGCAATCTGGTCCGATTGACACTGACCTTTGGTCTCTGGACTCTGACAATCTCCAGACTTCCGAAAATGTCGACCTTCAAATTTTCTCTTGACTCTGTCGACCTTTGTATGTTGAACTGATTGCAAAAAGGAATGGGGATCCCAGTCCATGGGCATTGTCAACATGAAAATACACTGAGCTATCAGATCGGTCCAGACCCGAAAACAATAGGAACTGGAAGAAAGGTAGAGAAACTAAATGTTGTTCTTTAGACGTTTTCCTCCGTCTTTTTCTTTAGACCGTTTTCCTATTGGTCTTTAGATCTGTTCTTTCTTTTTTTGATCTGAAGACGGACACTGCGAGAACCCCTACACACTGCCTTGGCGAAAGGACTCCTTCTGGCTTCTGGTGGGATTACGACCCAGGCGGTACAAGCACTTAAACACGGGCCAACTCTTGGGTACTATGAGGTTGGAGGCCACCGCTACCGCATCCAAGGTGCAATGGCATCAGCGAGCTCCATAACGGTCGCCCTTGCCGTCAAGACATTTGTGCATGTCACCGCGCAGCAAATCAAAATTCCACGAGTATCGCACAAAGGTTGGTAACTCTGTCAGACTGGTTGCAACTCTAGGCCACCTATGCCAGTATATATGTCCCTTCCATTTCAGATGGATCGGCTTCAGGAGCCTGTCTTCGCTGTGCTGTGCACCAAGTGCTAACCATCCAGGCACAAAGCACATCAAGTGCTCCATTTCCTCACGAGCTGCGCAAAGCACATCAAAGGGCCAGGAAGCTCTGAACTGCAAGGGGCAGCAAAACCCATATCAAGGAAATGCTGACAATCGTGTCTCTGAGGATGTAGAGTTGTTTTGGCCGTAAGATAGCAAAGCTCGCTTCCAATCAAATATCTTTGGCTTAACTCTTAATTAGCTTTTATGATGTTGCTCACCAGAAGGCGGCCGAAGCAGTCCGGAATGTAGGATGTCGATCCAGAATTCGCATCCCAAGTTACAGTTCCCAAGTAGCTGAGGCCATCCTTAGGTTTTCTCAAGCAAATCCCGTGAAGGCCTCTTGCAGCTTGCAGCTATGCGGAGCCAAGATTCAGTACCCTTCCTCACCAAATGCTTCTGCAGCCCTTTCACTGCCTTGTCGTACATTCCTGCATGTCCGGTCATGTATTGAGAAGCAAACCAGTAGAAACTGTTGCAATCGTGCCTTTGAGGAAGCTTTCATTCTCTCTCTTGCCACCCTGCAACCACACCTGATATCTCAGGCGGCTTTGCGAAGAACGACTTGAAGAAGAAAAACAACGCTCCGTGTGCCTTCACCAAGTACTCGTAAAAGGAGTCCCCATCAGCACCTCATGCTGCTGATGGTAAAGAAGCTTCAGTGAACTGAACATTCATGCGAGGCTCCGACCGAAAGTTATCTTCCCTTTCCCTTTCTCAAAGCAATTTGGCCACAGTCTGAGTGTCAGAATGTGTCAAGAATGCCACAACATTGCCATGGATAAAGGCAAAGAAGAAGAGGGAAGCTGGGACAATGGCCCGTCCAAGGACCTTGCACCTTGCACAGTCTCCTGCATTCCGCAGCAAAGCACGATGCTGCAACGAAAACAACCTGACTATCAATCAAAAGTATGTTCAAGCCAACCTTCGAGTTTGCACAACAGTTGCAAAAACGCAATCTGTTGGAACTGAGAAATTGACATAGAACTTCATGGACTTTGAGGCGAACGTGTCATCACCAGTTGCATGGGAGAGGTATCTCATTTCCAGCCTGAGACAAGCAAAAACATAATGAGAAAAGAACGGACGAACTCTAGAACTTAACCAAGCCACTGAAGAGTTCCAGATTCCGCCAGGCTTGGGCATCCGCTCCCTGCGTGAATGACACAAATGATTGGTGCTGAAGTGATCTTTCTTGTAGAAACTGCATTCTCGAGAAGTATTCATTGTAGAGCTAGGCTGTTACACTGTTCCAACCGCGAGAAACATATCGTACCGTACGTCTGTTCTTTTCTAGCACTTTTTTCATATTTGTATACCATGGGCATGGAATGACGACATAATTCAATTGACACAATGCCAAAAGGGCCTCCACGTCCACCTCCAAACGTGTAGGGTGTGATTCCTTGAAGAGATTTGTCATTGGCGATATACCATTGATTGCACAAGCTTTTGTTGACAGAATGAGAACACAAAAAAAGGACACCTAAAGCCGTAAAAAGAACAGGTCTGAATATCTCAAAAAGGAACATAATCGAAAATGAAACAAATGACGAAAACTTCCCAGTAGACCCGTGGCCATCCTCGAGGATTCACGGTCGACAGGATTCTTCGTCCTGATCTATGATTCTCAAAAAGGAAGAACAATAAAAAGGGCATCTTGAATAAGGCCCTCTTTAAAGAGGCCTTGTTAAAGAGGCCCTTCCCTTCTGTTTTCCGATTGTCTTCCTAGAGTCAAGGGCAGTACACATGAATCCTCCCCAGAGTGGGGCCCGAGCCCAACTTGTCTGCCAGATCCAAAAAGGTTTTGTCCTGCCAGGTCTGATGTTCGAGTCGTCTCTTTCTTGCTACTAGTTACTGGTAGCCTTCTTGTTACTAGTAGTAAGGGCCTCCACCTTAGTAGCGATGGCCTCCAACCTAGTGACCTAGTAGTGATGGCCTCCAACATAGTAGCCTTCTTGCTTTCGTCATGATTCGTCATGTTCTTTCTTTGTCTTGTCTTTTTCTTTTAGCCAATGCGTCCTTTGAAAGATCATGTGCAGATAAGAGACCTCCGAGCCTAGCAAGGGCCGAGAGAGGCTGCAAGAAGCGCCAAGTGTTCGCCGAGTTGCACTCGGATGTTTGTCTCAAAGACCGACACACCATTGCCTCGTCTCAGTTTGCACGGAAAATAATTAAGCTATTTGCTACTAGCATATAGGATGGAGGGCCACTGCTACTAGCTTAACTAGCTACCTTCAAAGCGGTGAGAGCACTTTCGCTTGAGTAGACTGCTCACGGCATGGATCTTCTGTGGCAAGTTCGACGCCTTAGTGCGCTATAACCAATGATGTGCCCTTTGTGCGCCCTTTGCTCCTAGTAGCGTCCTTTGCTCCTAGTAGTAAGGCCAGGAGCCCCTAGTAGCTTCTCGC